AGAAGAGACAGGTACAATGGCTGGTTACAGATTAAGCAGCCTTCGCATCTGTAAGGGAGCTGTTCTTTCCAACAGAAAGGAGTGAAATAATACTGTACACACATTGTTGAATCAACAAGCACCAATTAAGTGTCTTGTCCTGGACAAGACAGGCGGTGATCTGGCCTTTGAGAGCTTAGAGTATAGGTGGAGAGCCATTAAAGGTGCAAGAACTGTCCCCTGTACCCCTCTCCAACCCTATGTCGAGTGGTCTCTTCCTCTTTTGCTCTGTAACACACAGACCTTTCATTCCCTTGAATGAGCCAAGCTCCTTCCTGCCACAGGACTTCCACTTATGCAGTCTCCTCTGTCCCCTCTGTCTATAATGCCTCTCCCCTCCCCCGCCCCCAACACCTCCATGGTCTGGTTGGTTGATTTTAGACTTCCTTCTGCTCTGACTTTCTTGACAAGCCGCCCCCAATCTAAGTGAGTGCCCCCATAACTCTTTCTTAGAGCGCCATTATGATTATTCACAGCACTTAGAGTATTTGTAATCGTATATTGTTAATTGTCAGTCATTCTGTTCTAGTGGTTGTTACATTGCCTTACGTGCTCTAGGCCTTCAATCAATATTCTTTGAAAAAAGGCACAAGCTTTATATTCAGTGAATATCTGCATACATGTCTATATGTGTACACATGCCTTTATACATATGTGTATGTACCGCACTTTCTTAAATAGTGCTAAATTTAAAAAGCCAAAGCACTACAGTTACTCAATACTAACAACTGTGCTTTTCATTTTCCAAATTTTGAATTTAATAAGCGCTTAGAAAAAACTTTTGCCTGGCCTAATAAAAACACAATGGCCACGAGGAAATTTAAAATTCCATGCTTTCTGCCTTACGTAAGATATCATAAATAGTCTTTTAACAAGTTTCCAAGAAACTTGACAATTTGAGAGAATGTCTTTTTTTTCAATGAATCAAGGACATGAATGCAAAGGGCATGAGTCCTGAGTTACTGTAATTCAGCTAGTGAGTGAGCTGTAGAACGTTGAGTCCTCATTTACTCCCTGGTTATAGTTTCCTCACTTATAAGGAGGAAAGGAAACGACTCAAACATGTGAGGGAGCTCACTTGTCAGCAAAGGCTTTTCAGGAATAAGGAAGCAGCCAGCCTAGGATAACTCACATGAAGATGCGTTTGTTTCCTTTGTCCCTGGTTTACTTGTAGACCCCTTGACACCCCTCTCTCTGTTCGTCCCAGTTGATGTAATATCTACTGTTTTCTTCAAGGTTTACGATAACATGCTATCCAAAATGGTTCTGAACACATTTGCTTTGTTTTCTTGAACCTAAAATATAGGAGTGGAGTTTTCCGGGAAGTCTCCCTGTTACCAGGCTTGCGTTTCTCCATCGGCCTCAGCCACCCCACCTCTGTCCCGTAGCTTGCATGTACCGTGGACTGGTGTGCTCGAGTTCTCACCACCATCTTGGCCCACCTATTTGTGTAAACCCATCTGTCTGTGCTCTGCTTATCTTCTACCAAAACCACAGTTCAACAGATGAAATGTTTTTGTCCTTAGATGTCAACTAAACCTTTTTAAATGCACAAAATTTACCTACAGACATAAGCTGAACCACGTGGAAATTTTCTGATTTGTGACTTACCTCAGCAAGTGTTGGGTCCTCCACTCCCTGTGCCCGGTTCCTCCCCTCCTAGTCTAGTGTCTCATTCTCACGTCTTCATGGGAAGCTAGGGACATAGAATTCTGTGATTGTTTTTAGAGCAGTAACATTTTGCTAAAATAATTCGGAACATAGATCCCCATCTTGGGACTCTGAGAAAAAAGTTAACTCATTTGTTCTTAGGCAATTAAGAAGTAAATTTGGATAAATAATCAAAATCTAGTTTATGCCTAGTTTATAGGCATAGTAGTTTTAGGATCTTCCAAAATTAGGGATGCTTCCCCCTTGGGTTTCAGATTTTATGTTAATACTTTTTGGAAGCAATAAGAGAGAAATTTCAGGAACCCAAGAGATAGGTCAAGGGTTTCACTGTAACTGATTGTGGAGCCATAATTGGATGTCACCTGCAGTGTTCCTCTGTCTTCGTGGTAGTGGAGGTTTATAATCATCAAATAGCCCAGAGCAGCAGTGGGGCTTATGGTGCCTGAGGGAATAATCTTAACAGAGATATACTTATATGTATATAGCATATGATGCCTTAATCTCCTCAGAAGCTCTCATTTAACAGAGTCCATCAGATTCTAATTTGAAGTTCTGTATTTGTCCTGAAGTAATTAAGATTCCAGAGGTACAATACATAATATGATTTTATTAGAGACATTTTTCTTTTAGTACAGGATAAATATGATTTTCTCTTTCTTGGAAGTCTTTCCTGGATTTGTTTCTTACTAGGAGTAGTGGAAAGCATTATTTAAAAGTTACCATGTTAATTAATTCACTAATTAATTCACCCAGGGCTCAGCCCAGTCATTTCCAAAACTGAGTGATATTATGTCTTGTAATAGACCCATTAAGTTTGAGGAAATCAAAAAATCCTTAAGATAGGAAGTGAGAGAGGACAGGGATGACCCTGGTGGACATCTTTATTCCCCAAGTGCTTCCTTCCACCTGGCACATCTGCAGGTACACCTGTCACTTAACATTTTGCACAGAGCTTATGACATACCATTTTTCATGGTTGGCATACCATGTAACCACAAAAATACTAAAACCTACAGGAAAGTGAGGACCCAGATTTTGTTCTGCAGTAGTTTTGACAACAGATACTCATCTTCGCAAACCTACAGTTTCACTCAAAATAATGTAACCAAATAGGAAGGAAAAGAGCAAATATGAAGGAATGAGCCCTGTTTTAGAGTCTGTTTAGTTCTGCTTCCTTGGATTTCTGTGCGAGGGGGGAATGATGTCTGAGGCCGTGAAGGGTAAGTACTCTCGCGTGCATAGTTGGTGCTCATTCGGCAAGGACTGGGGAACTTGTGGTGCTCCATTTGCTTAAGAGCCTCCACCTGTTCCTAAGATGATGCGTAGATTCGTTTATGAATTCCCTCTCCTTCTGGCACATCCTTTCTTTCTGACTGGCACTGGACTTCCCAGGCTCAAACAACTAAATGTAAGAAAAAAAATGTTTTAATTAAAAATATTTTAATTTTTTTAAATTAAAAAAATTTTATTTTAATAATTTTAAAGTCCCCCCCACATGGAGGGACTTGCCTATGTTCCTCCTGTGGGTATTATTCAGGATTTATCCTTGAAATGAGTGCTTTTCTGACATATAGGCAAAGGGAGAATGATGGAAACAGTAGTCCTTTAAAATTGCCATTAAATTGGTTAAAGGCCGTAGAACATTTTTTTTAATTAAGCATAGTAAAGAGTGGTATCCTGGGAGCAACAAAAGATAGATAAACACTTCAGAGATGTTTAGTGCAGTGTGTTAATTAAGGGATACTATCTATTTCCACTGCAGAACTTCAGTCTTTTCATTTTGTGTATCTCTTAAGGTACTTTTGGCATATTTTAAGGTAATGGGTATTACTTTTAACATATAATCTTTGATCATGGAAATGTGAGGCTGACAAAAGTAATTGTGGCATTGGTATGTATGAATTTAGTCTCCTTTTATAGTTCTTCCTATGACAGACCCTAAACAGAAGTGTGGCCTATGAAAACTTTTAGCCTACTTTGGTTGCATGTGTTTATTAGCTTATTGATCATGTTATGGATTAATTACAGAAAAACATAAATTTTAATCTTTTTGCCATTCTAGCCTGAGGAGGTCCACAGCAGTTAGTTTGTAACTAGTTAATGAAAACTCAGGTTACTGTTATTCTAAGAAAATTCAGGAAATCAAATCAGTAACTCAAAATTTTTGCTTTATTCCAGGGCCAAGTAAACCCATTCTGAATTCTTCACCCATTGCTGAACTTCTTGAGTATATTTAATTAAGAGGTGACTATAATTGAATTGTTCTTAAGAGTTTTACTAGATTATGAAATTTTAAGCTTAAAGTAGGCAATGATAAAGAAATAAAATTAAAAGGAAAGGCAGGACGTGGTTTTTTTCTTAGGAACACCAGATTTTAGTTAAGGATATAGAGGCATCAGTTGCCTTTTATTTACCATTTAGGATGACGCAGTTGGAGGAGTTATTAAAGGGGCAGCCAAGACTGGAGAAGACCTGAGAGGAGCAGGGCTGATCATATTGGTGTGTGGGTCCAAGATAAAACAGTCAGGTAACAGCGTTTTTGCCTCCTGTGTTAATTGTAATTAACAGGCATACAGGGGGTTGGATTTAAGGTGAAGAGATAGGGAAAATAGTGACTGGGTAGTAGTGGAAAGGACTAGGATGGGATCAAGGCACCGGAAGGCAGAAGTACTGAGTACAATGTTTTTTATTATTATTTTCCTGTAGTGTATCATTTTCCTTTGTGTATGTAACCATACACAAAGTTTCAGTTGGATTGTCATGGTGCTACAACTATGACAACCCCTGAGAGTGGCTTCTCTGGCTAACAGCAGGACTTGAACCATAGAACAAAGGGTCAGGCCTCTTCAGATTTACTGTTCATGTTGGGCAGAACACTTCCACAGGACCTGGAAGCCAGAGATCTTTGCAGTAGTGTGACCTGGTAGCTAACCTCTGTATCTGTCCTGTTGAACCGTGCATGGAGCCCAGCCCTGAAGCCAGGTACTGGATCACATGCTCCCTTTAGGTTGTCTAGGTTGGAAGGCTCTGATTTTTAACTTGGTTACCATGTGGGCTCTTAGGCTAACAGTGTTTCCTTCCTGCTGTCGCGTCATTGGACCCTCTTCTCCCAAGGTTTTTAGAAATTGTCCCCCATCCTGGGCTGACCCACAACTTCTAAAGTCCTACTCAGAGCCACGGCCATGGGGAATGGGGTCAAGGCCGAAGGGTTTAAATGACCAGATTCTGGTAGACTAGGTTGAATAGAGGAATATCCTATGTGTTATTGTCAGAGTATCTTGTTTCAACAGTCAAATTTCACCTATAAATTTGTAGACAGTCTATTAATATTGTCTTCTTTTTCAGAACTTCTTTAAATCATGGACAAACAAAGTAAGTAGTTTTCTTTAAGTGTTTACTTTCTTCATAATGTTAAGTCTGTTTTTAATATGTTATTTGTCATAATGTTTTATTCGGTTTCTGAAAGGATATAATTTGCTTTGTGTTGTTTATGCTCCAGGATCCAAAGTCTAGTTTACTGTTTTGATTATAGAGAAGATGTATGCAAATATCCACTACCACTAATTTTCCCTTTAAGAATAAAAAAGCCATAGATAAACCTAAGAAATTTTAGGCTTATTGTGAAATACTCGTATAATTTATACTATATTCCATCCAGATCAGTTTTCTCTTTTCTATGTGTGTTTTATATACATAATGATTATTCAAATCATATTAATTAACAGATAATAAATTTAATATGTCAGTCTGTTGTAATAAAATCCTCAGATACAACCCCGATATATATTTCATAACATATACACGTGAATAGATTTAAATCAATACCAATTATTATGTTCTGACTTTTTTTCTCTCAAGAAAATTCTAAATAAGATAGGTATTGACCAAGTATGTAATAAAAGACTTTGTCTTTCTCAGAGATCCTGAAGAGAAAAACAATACATATCGGGGAAAATATGAAAAACAAAGTCCTATTTTCTGAAGGATTTATATTCTCTGTTTTTCTTTGTTTAGATGGCCACAGAGATGTTTCTCTCTCACCGCAGTGTCAGCCTTGCTAGATACCTCACATACTTTTTAGGACCAGAAACATCGGCTGTCTTTCATGAAGTTTCATGTCTTCTCTTAATGTTTGCTATATTAATTAAATTTTATTTACAAAACTCAAAGCTTTTTAAATGTAAATTTGTATAGTATTAAGCTGTTTTATTTGCTACAAGCTTTAGGATGCTTCACATCACTTTAGAAAAGATTCCTTTGGCTACGTTCACCTTTTAACTCTTCAGCGTCATGTATATAATGGTGTGTGTGTGTGTGTGAGCATAAATAGAAATAAATAAAATGTATGTATATATGTAAATATACATATATAGAGAAGTAAAAGTAAAATAGCTTTAAGGCAATGTGATTTTTGTAAGTTATTTCAAGTTGCATTTCACACATGCAGAAACCCATCCATAATTCGTATACTCTTTGGTCTACTTGACCCCTTGCCCATTCACTTATTTTCTCTTTGTATGAATTTCCCCGAATTCCTGAAACCAGGATCATTGCTCTGGTACCAAAACTCCAGAGATTATGAGCTCTTAATTTCTTGAATCTGTCAGCTCCTGTATATGTGTGTGTATTTGTTCAAACAACGGTACCTGTTAAGAGATACCAAAATACGACGTATCAATTCAGGGTAGGTCTTTAAGTCTGACTTGCAGTGTGTTTCCTTGAGATCTGTTGAGTCTGATCTTGTAGTTTCCAGCTTGGGTTGGGAGTGGGGGCCGTGAGCAGAGCCTTGAGAGCTAGAGAACTAGGAGCTAGGCCACGACCTGAAGACCAGAAACAGAAGGGAATGGCTGGGATGAAGTGACTTGTGGCATTTCAGAGATCTGTGGTAATTCGGGGTATGTCGCAGTGTCTGTTCAGAGAAAAGCGCTGATTGAAGTAGAGGATTCTCTGTTGCCTGAATGTGCAGAGTCTCCATGGACTCCATTCTGCTGAAGTTATTATGAAGCTAGGTGAATGGAGGAGAAAGGGGGCCCACAATTCAGCCTTCCTGCTGAAACCACGTGTCGAGTGGTCTTTGAAGGCTCTTGATAGAGAAGTATATAGAAAATGTATCGGATTGAAAGTTTGACCAACATTTTCTTCTGCATTGATGCCATGTCCCCATGATTCCAAAAGAAATTATTTTGAATCTACAGTTAGTAAGCCATAAGGAAAGAGAGGAGAACACAGTATAAGTGTAACGTTCACTACACCATAAGTTCCGTGGAGGCAGAGCCAGTGTAGCCCCAAAGCCTAACTCAGAGGTGACAGAGGAGAATCTCAGTAAATATGTATTGTCTGGCTCGAGTGACTGCTAACTGAGTGATTGGAGAAACACAAATGTGAAGACTAGGGGAGTGAACCATTTGCACATGTATTAAGATTATTCATCCCACACTGATTAGCAGATAAAGTTTAATATGTTAGTTTATAGTAATGTCAGTTATGATTTTTGTAGGTCAAAATTAGTCAAATATTGGGAATTTCCTGTGTTTCAACCTTATTGGAGTAGTTCTAGAGTAAGCATAAAAAGGATATTTAAATACTGAAATGTATGCACTATTTTAACTATTTAAAAAATAATTCATATAGCAATGATTATAAATATCTTTGTAATCATCCATAATCATCCTTCCAGTACCATCCTCATCTCCAACTAGTTTCATTTATCTCCTTCACAGTGTATATGTTGCTTGAAAACAATCTTTTTTTCCTGGTACTAACAAAATCATAGTGTGGAAGTGAATGCTCATTGGGCATATCTGAAAACTAGAAATTCAGCCCTAGGAACTCTGCTGCCTCATTTATCCGAAAGGGAGTTTGTTTGAAACAGGATTCTGCTGCAGAATAACTCTGATGACAGGCGGAGCTTTTGTTAAGTGAAGACTTCACTCTGTCTATTTCAATACAGCATAAGAGCATGCAGATTAAAGTTATCTAAGGACAATGCATTTTTCTTTCTATATATTTCCTTATATGTGTTTCCCTCTCATTGAATTGCAGATGTGCCAGAAACAAATTTACCAGCTGGGCATCTCCCTCAATATCCCTCAGCAGCATTCCAAGGTAAAACATTTGTTTAAAGAATAAAAAACCAAAATCAATTATTGATATTCTCCAAAGAGCATCTGTCTGTCTGTCTCTGTGTGTACTTATTTTAGTAGGGCCTTTTATTAAAAGTGCAATAATGAAATTGCCAGCCTAATGGTTCTTGATTTTCTTAACTATATATTACCATAAATGTAACTTTTATTTATACAGGATAGTAAACATGTAGAGTTCATAAAAACAATAGAGAGTTTACATTTAGCAAATGAAATATAAGGTTGCACATAAATTAAACCCTAGAATACACATATTAAAATATTTTATTGATTCTCCATCTGTTCTGAATGTTGTGATCATGTAATGACAGTTAGGAGATTTATCCCTGGGTGTTTTGAGTCACGTGTTAGCTGAGGTTAATTGTGTCAGTGAGAGTCACCAAAAAGAGACAACCGCTTAACCCTGGCAGCTGTCAGCAGTAGAAATGTAGCTACCCGGGGAGGATTCTCATTTTCATCTGGTGACATATATGAGCTTTACTTCTGTATACATGCTGAATCATGCCTTGCATTTCTAAGAAAAATAATCACTACATACCGGGAGGACGTTTTTTCCTTTGAACCAAAGCATAAAAGACTCCAGAGATTTTCGTTTAGACAAATAGAGTTATCAAAATTACTAGAACTTTACTAAGTGGCAAAGTTCATGGTGCACCCAGATTTGTAAGTAGGCGGGCTACCCACATCTTGAGAGACCATCCTGGGGACTTAGGATCAAAAGGAATCAGGTTTGGGCAGAAGAGTGTAGGCATTTTGCATTCTACTCTGAGCAGACAAATCTGCTTGGGAGCTGAATGGCCGGTTTAATTGTCTAGCCAGAAGCCACCCAGTGGGGCCTGGATCTCATCCAGATGTTTGCAGTGAAAAGAATGTGAGCTAGAAAAACTCCAAGGCTCTAAGCTGATAGTTCTCAAGGGTGCCTGCCCTTAAGTATTATGTGGAAGCTCTTAAAAACGCTCGCACCGGCACACTGTCCCAGGACACTTAAAGCAGCAGCTCAGGCAGCGGGACCCAGGGATTGTTCATTTTTTAATTCGCCACATGATGCTAATGTGCAACCAGGCCCAGAACCGCTGCTCTACGTTCTTATAGGGTTGGCATTTGGAGAATTATTAGCAAGTCTATAATATTCACCCAAGGCACTTGGAGAATTATTTAATCCACCCATAGCTAATTAACAGTAGGTGATACATAATTAAATTTGGTTATAATCAGACTTGAGAGTTTGTGAGAAAAATAGCTCAACTGTCTATCTCAAGTCCAAGGCCACATATAGCATAGGTCTTTATATGACAATGATGCTAACAATAGTGATGGCTTCAAATTGAGAGCACTTTGTGTAATGTGGATTAACTCATTTAATTCTCAGACACTCCTCTGGATAAATACTATTAATTATCCCCATTATGCAAGTGAGAAAACAGGTGTAGAGAGGCCAGATCAAGCTCTAAATTCTGACGTCTGTACTTAATAGTTGCATAGTGGTTTTAAACAAGTTGCTGTACCTCCAAGCCTCAGTTCTTATCTATAAAATGGGGGTAATATTATCCAATTCAGGTTGGTTTAGAGACTAAATGAGAGTATATGTAAAACACCTAGCACAATGCTTTACCAATAATAAATGACAAATATTTGCTATTATATTAATAATATGTTACATCAATTGGGCTTTACATAAATGAAAATATTATCCAAATTTCAGGTAATTCTATATGCTTAATCCATTGATTTGGGAAATAATCAACTATCCTCTCTATCAAAGAGTCTTGAGAAGATTAAAATAATGCTATTAATGTAACCAATGAACTCAGATATCCTCATCCCCACTGGCTTGCCTGTGGTCTGATCTCTGCACTGTAGCCCGTGATCTTTAAAAATGCAAATCTCTCCATATTACAGACAGTATTCAGTGGGTACATCACTGGCTTCCCTTTGCTTTTCGGATAAAGGCCAAAATGTTTAATTTGATCCACCAGACCCAAGGGGCTCCCCTGCCTTCTCTTTAACTGCCTCTTAAGCCTGGCTCTCTACTGTTCAGGTAGACTGGCCTGTTTTCAGATTTTTTAAGGCCCTATGCTTGTCACTATCCCACGGCTTCTCTCTGAAATGTTCTTTCTATGCCGCTGGCCTCCTCAACTCCTTTGTATCCTTTAGGTCTCAGTTGAAAGGTGGTCCTCAGTAAAGCTGCTCCCACTCCTTCCCTTTCTCTCTCCACATCCAAACACCTTCCTCTGGCATATGTAGTCCTGAAACCCTGGTCCCTTCCTTGCAAGCACTGGTCTCCGATTCTAGTTAATCACTTCATCACACTGGTGTTACCCCTCCCTGGAGTAAGGGATAAAGTCTAAAGTTCTCTCTGACGTTAGGCAGGGAGGGCAGGGATTGCATCTGCATTTCTCATTTTAAATCCCAGTGCTCGGCACTCCTAAAGACTGTGTAAGATATAAATCAGATCGTGGCACTCACTTTTCTCCTTCAAATCCTCTGAGGCCTGTCAATCCTACTTGGAATAAAACCCAAGCTCCCTATTAACGGGCTCCCTAGATGAACTGCTCCTGTGTCTTTACCGACAGCCGTTGCTGTTCTTCCTCTCCCTGTTGGTGTCCCTCTCTTTCTCAGACATGCCAAATTCATTCCGAAAGTCAAGGATTTTGCATTTGGGTTTCCTTCCTCCTGGAACATTTCCCACCAGATCTTCACACAGAGTTTTTTCCCTTCTCATCTTTGAGGTCTCCACATAAATTTTGTCTATCCAAAGTAACCGCGTGATACCTTGCCCTCTCTCCCGTGTATTTTCTCCATCAGATTAATCTGAAATCTTTTTTTAAAAATTTATTTTCTGTCTCCCAGAAGTTGCCTGTAAGCTCCCTGAGAGCAGGTTGCCTTGTTGATAACTGTCTCCTTTGATTCTGGAACAGAGCCAGTTACGTCAGAGATCATCTGTAAATATTTATTCATTTTAATAAGGAATGAATTATAAAAGCTATATTTAAAAGACATTGAGGTTTAGTGTCTTTTGTAAGTCTTACTTTTTAATGATGTATGTATTTTTGTCATCAGTGTTTCATTAAAAGTATTTCTAAATTGCCATTCTAGGTATTAAATTTTGCATGGCCTTTACTATTAAAATATTATGAAACACAGTCTTTTGAAACTGTATTCCATTCCTATAGAATTACTACTCTGTGGACTGTTCTTTTAAGCTTATGAAGCTTCGTTGTAATCACAAATTCACGTGGAATACAGTATACACTTGTTAAATTTCTTTCTCTACTGTGCTTATTAAATACTAAGGACAATTTTTCCCAATATAACTTTTTACCTTCCTTGGTTCTCAAATTGCATTGTCCCATCCAGAGAGCTGAAGGTGCTAAATTGTGAAATTTAAATTTGTAACCTAAGTATTGTAATGGAATTTTTTTTGTGTTTTTCACGTAGAGGGTCTTAGGAATGGAATAAACTGTGGATTAGAACTTCAGGTAAACTGTTAACCTAGAGCAGTATCTGGACAGGACTGGAAGGAGTGACATGCTTTTACCTCTACACCAGGGTTTCTCAACAGCTGCACTATGATATTTTGGGATGGATAATTCTTTTTGTCCAGGCTGCTGTTCTCGGCATTTTAGGATAGTTAGCAGCATCCACGGCCACTATCCACCAGATGCCAGAATCACACTCCACTGCAGTTATGACAGCCACAAATGTCTCCAGACCTTGCCAAATATGCCTCGAGGGGGCGAAACCACCCCCAGTTCTATACAAAACGGAGATGTCATTTGTTAGAATTCCAGAATTATCATTTTTTACGGAGTGCTTCCGTCCTAGAAATGCTGGCTCAAAGCCTTTATTTTAGGCCTTCTCCTCAATGTCATCTCTCTTTTCCATGAAAGCATTCCAGAATCTTTATGTAGGTGACTCTAAATCATTGTTGATTTTCTTTCACTTTCTTAGGTTTTAAGCATATTTTTATCTGAGTTTTGAATGATAAGGTTAAGGTTGTGGCCCAACTCTATACACAGCCCAAAACCTTCAAAATATAAGTGGATATTAAAACCACAGATAGTTCATTGAAAAATTGCTGAAAGATAAAAACACAAACTTTAAGTTTCATAAAAACAGGATTTCTGAGCTGAAATTTTACCTTGTAGGTAACTAGGGTAATCCTAAAAGAGTTGATGTGTCCATTTTTCTGTGCAGTTACAAATTATTTCACTTGTTCCTATTTTAGGACCTCCAGGAAATACTGGGTACCCTGGCCCCCAGGCTGGCTACCCCGGCCCCCAGGATGGCCTCCCTGGCCCCCAGGCTGGCTACCCCGGCCCCCAGGCTGGCTTCCCTGGCCCCCAGGCTGGCTACTCAGTCCCCCCAGCTGATTATCCAGGTGCTGGCCCAGGGGGCTTTGCTGCCCATCAGCAGCCGGTGTACAATCAGCCAGGTAGACCTGCAGGGATACCATGGATGCCAACACCACCACCTCCATCAAACTGTCCACCTGGGTTGGAATATTTAAGTCAGGTAATTTCAAACACATAAAACAGTCATAAAAAAATAAAACTGTGCTTCCAGTTTACTTAATGAGATTAACAAATGACTAATCGACAAAAGTCCAAAATGGTAAAACAACATTTTTTGCTAACAAATTACTCTCATTCTTCTAGGTCTAGGTTTAGTTTTAAAGCAAAATATGAATGTCTTAGAAAATTGTGGTTTCTGGGATCTTGAACATAATCTGTCATAATAGCCAATAGCAAACCTTTATTAAGCACTGTTTTCCAGCCTTTGTTCTTAAGTATAATACATGTATTAACTAATTTAATCCTTTTAGAAACTCTGTGATATATAGATGCTATAATTATCACCATTTTACAGAAGAGGAAACTGAGGTTCATAGAAGTTACATAATTTGCTCAGCATCAAAACTCTAAGGAAGTGGGAATAGCTTTTTACTTCTGGAATCTTGGTTCTGGATCCTGTGCTCTTTATTTCCTAGGAGTTTAATCCCTAGGAGTTAAGAACCTAGGAGTTGTAAAGAAACATCAAACTCAATTTAGTGTTGAGTTTCAATAAGGGTACCACAAGAGGAGTTAATATTTTGTGTATAATGTGACTCACTTTTTTATTATAATTAATAGAATTACATTTTTATGATGCTTTAATTCTTTAAAGACCGAATTTTATTAATGCTAACAATAAGGAAAAACATCCTGGATTTTAATGTACCACATATGAGGTTTCATATTTGTTTGGTGTTAGAAATCTGGTAGGTAATGTAGGAATATGAAATTCTGTGTGTCTAATCTATAAACAAATAAACGGATATTCCTATGATACTCAACTAGTTTTCAGTAAATGTCTTGTTTTTCTTGCACTCTCTGCATTACTTTAACTTCCCACAAAGCACTTGGGCAGCATATAATATAAGAACTTTTAGTAGTTTATTAATTCTCCAAGAAATACCCTAAAGAGAATTTTTTTTTTAATTAAGGCCTTACAAAATATGTGGGGGAAGTTATTACCTACTACAAATGATAATATCAAGTATAATTAAAAAGAAAATTTTTATATTTATAGAAAAAAACTCTTTAAATGGATGAAAAGGTCTTAATATTTTTTAAGCCTTTTCTAGAAGGAACTTTTTTTTCTAATTTTTGTAGGGATTCCAGTGTAAGTCAATTTTATTTGACCTGAATTTGCCCACATTAATAGTGAACACATTCAATAGATATCTTTTAAATTAAAAATATATTAACTAGTAGTAATATAAACTATTATTAAATATTGATAGTTGATTATATTCATTCTTTAAAATATAAAAACAATGATGTTAATTTGGTTGGCTTAAAAACGAGATATATACTTACAGATTAATTTTCTTTTTACTGTAATAGATAGATCAGATACTGATTCATCAGCAAATTGAGCTTCTGGAAGGTAAGTATTCATCGTATTGATCGTATTTCTAGAAAGAGAGGACGTTTATGCAGATAAAGGCGTATCAACCACCACCAATAGAACACTCTCACTACTGTGAAATGGTTAAACCTGGTTACTTACAAACATTTCTCTTCATGCTAATGAAGTAATGATTATCAGCAGCTCCTTTCTTGAAATGAGGAGTCAAGTGGTAAAATACTGTTATGCTGGGCATCTGTCCTCCTGATGCAGACCCTAACTTAGAAGGAAACCAATCAAAACTACTTTTGCTCCCCTTTCTCTCTAGAAATCACTTCCTAAGTTCCATCACTTCAGCTGCCTTTTCCCCCAGTTTGTGATCACCTTGAGATTGTTGCAGAGTCACACGCAATAGTTCCGTTACCTTAGTACGTTTCCAAAGTAAATAAATGTTTTGAATTTGGATGGATATGTTTTGGAAAATCATATTCCTGCCCACAGTTTCTCTTGGGAGCTCAGATGAACCCTATAACCCTTTTGTTCTGTGGGCTGAGGAGTATCCCCCTGCATGCAGGGCCACTGCAGTGTTGGGGGCTGCGGACCAGCAGGCCTTGCAGCCTGGCTTCCTAGAACAGCTCTCCTGCTCGTGCGAATGGGGCCCGACTCCAGCAAATGTCTCCTTGGGCCCAGCGCTCCTCAGGTGCAAGATAAACTTAGGAAGCCATTAGATGTTTCAAGACTCCTGCAAAGAGAAAGAGAAGCTGGATAGATTCATGAACCATAGTGTCTTCCTTCTAGATACAGAGTTGAGTGAAACCTTTGCTCCTTTTTAGAATATATCTGTTAGGTCCTTTACCTCTCTGCAAAGTTCCTTTCCACTGGTAGAAATTATAACATGAATTTTACTAGTATAATAATAGATTTGGTTAGAATATACAATTGTTGCCTATTACATTTAGATTACTTATAATGTACGTTGTTAGATATTTATAATTTCTCACTTTTGTTTGTTTATACTAAGTTTTCTCTGGAAAGGAGCTCTTTGTTGTTTGATAATTTGCATTCTGAATTTTTTTAAATGTTTTATTCTAAGGAATTTATTTTTGAGATTATAAAACCCCAAAAGCCAAACACTATACATTATACACACATGTACTCTAAAGTACATATTTATAGTTTTTAGATTTATAAGTTTTATATATATTTGTGAGATATATATGTATTAGTCATGAAATATAAAGTAAGTTCCAAATTTAGTAGTTACTAATTCTCCAGTTTTTCTTAAAGGGATGTCTTTAATTGTTTTCATTTTGTCTCAAATCGAAAGTTTATATTTTAACATTATGAGTCATATAAAGAGATGAAGATTACTCAGTTTTTTAGCCTCTGAGAGTATGACAAGCACTTATAACTTTCCTAATTCAAAACTTAATAGACCATAGGGCCGGCCCCGTGGCTTAGCGGTTAGGTGCGTGCGCTCCGCTGCTGGCGGCCCGGGTTCGGATCCCGGGTGCGCACCGAGGCACCACTCCTCCAGCCATGCTGAGGCCGCGTCCCACATACAGCAACTAGAAGGATGTGCAGCTATGACAGACAACTACGTACTGGGGCTTTGGGGGAAAAATAAATAAATAAAATCTTTAAAAAAAAAAAACTTAATAGACCATAAAGACATAGCCATAGAATTCATTTTTCTAATTTTTTTTCATTTTTTAAGTAACTAGAAGGAAACTTAGAGATTGTATAAGCCCATCTATCTCATTTTACAGGTAAACAACCTGAAGATTTTTGAGATTGCGCTACTTAATGAAACAGTTAGAAAATAGATCCCATTCGTGAATCAGTTTAATTTTTCTCTCAGGAAACAGTTGACTGGCAGGTGTTGAGGTCAAGGGCGGTTCTTATAAAGGCAGAGCCCAGGCCTGTCTGAGTCAGAGGAAGACACTTGGGGGAGGTCATGATGATGGAATTAGTGAGGGACATCTCTATCTGACTAAAAGTCCATCCACACAGATATTAGGGGAGTGGGTTTTGTCTCCATGTATTTCTTTTAATCACTCCTTATTTTGGTGGCTTCTGACTTCCTGTGACCCGAGTTAATGAGAGCTGTGGACAAGTGGAACCATTAATTGCTCCTTCCTGGCTCAAGTCAGGAGAGGTTTCCAACGCGTGGTTCAATATGGGAAGCCCTGTGGTGAGAAATGACAGGGTGTCAGCATTTAGCACTGCTCTGCTTTCCCATGGAGAGTTAACCCCTCCAAGGTACAGGGCTCACCTAGGATGCCAGTGGTCCAGATGTTCTGAGCTGCAGCCTCGGTTGCCGAGCACCTTTCCCCGATGTCTAATACCATCTCCCCCTCCTGAACAACTGCTGCTGAGCTCAACAATGGTGCCCTGGGCCACTGTGATGTTCTAATCCACCTTCCACTTTCACTCTCTCCGTCTTCACATTGAGAGTTAGTAAGGTAAGTACATCACCTTCCCTCAAACACGGTGCAAAAAGATAAGCCATGAATATGGTATATAAAATAAAATCTCAAACCAGTTTAAGGCTGTAATATTTCATAAAGCATAAACACAGCAAATCATCCTGTATTCTCCTCCCTGATTAAATATATGAAAATAATACCAAGGTGGTGGACGTTTTCTGCATACACCTAGCACGGCGGTGACCCACTGCAGCATTCTACCGCCCTTCGGCAGCCGAGTCTCCCTTTCTGACACATGCCTACAGAATTAGGAAGACAGGAGTTTTCTTTTCCAGGTCTCACACAGGACTCCTAATTTCTCTGTGCCTTAATACCTCCTCTCCTTCTTTCCCTTTGCCTTTTTTTCTCTGTCTGAATTATCTCTAAACACTTCACCCTTTCTTTCTTTTGTGTTACTTGAAGTATCAACTAAAAATGGTGTAACTAGATATTATAGTATCTTAGGATAGACTCAATATTCTTATAACATAATGGTCATAATGATTCCCTCTTTTCTGTTTTTAGTCTTAACAGGTTTTGAAACTAATAACAAATACGAAATTAAGAACAGCTTTGGACAGAGGATTTACTTCGCAAAGGAAGACACCGATTGCTGTACCCGATATTGTTGTGGGGCTTCTCGACCTTTTAACCTGAAGATTCTTGATAATATTGGCCAAGAGGTCATAACTATGCAGAGACCACTAAGGTGTAGCAGCTGTTGTTTCCCCTGCTGCCTTCAGGAGGTCAGTGAGCAATTAGAAGGGGACTTTGTAAGTGGTTCAGCAAGAATTTTTATCCTTTTATTGAACCTGTATCATCAGTGATACTTAAAGGAAAATTGGTCCACAAACTATTAGTTTATGCTTTAGAGTAAATTGTGCAGGAAAAAGAGCAGGTGTAAATCAGTGAGCAGTTAGCCCCATCTCCCTGAGTAGTGTGTCTCGTGGGACTGAGCATCCGCTCAGAGACCAGACTTCTTGATCTTTGGGGAGAGCTGGGAAGGTAGGGCCCCTTGGTCAAATCCTTTAGCTGACATGACCATGAGAGGCCTGACAAAGCCAGAGCAGGGGCACCACAGAGAATATCCTAGAATACTATCCCAGGAACAAGTGGACAGAAGAATGAGGAAGAGAACAGATGTGTTCATCTCACAATTTTGGCCAATCTACTCAGGAACAAACCTAGGAGGAGGCCCCTCTGAAAAATCTCAACTCCTGTGTTTTTCATTTTTCCATTTAAAATAATTAATATATTTGAGTCCCCTGTAAGAGGTATACACTAGTGCGAGTACCGTTAGCTCCATAAACACCAGCTGTCTCTTTCATATTACTTGACAGCCCACTGATGGAGAATGTGGATCTCGGGGGAGATGCCAGGGCACAGAGAGTTTATAGGAAAGTTGGCCTTTGCCTATAGCCCCATTGGTGTGAGACCAGCCCTGCCTGGGTCACTCAGTCATTCCATATAGGTAGTTATGAGAGCAAGATACAAAGATACAAGCACATAGATATTTGAAGTCTAATGTTGCACTTATTTTAAAAAGATAACTAAAATTGATACTGAATTATTTTGTTTTCCATGTCATTTAGGTTAGGAATAATAATATCTAGCCATAGGAATATCTGAGGAAAAACTGGGAATTTGGGGGAATGTGCTCTACAATATAAAGCGCACATTAACATGCCTTATACTATTTGATGGTACACAGTGGACCTAGGAAGTCCTCGTGTACAGATGAGCTCACTGAGGCCTTCTCAAGGTGCCCAGCTCAGGAGCAGAGCCCAGATTCCAGGCCTCGTTTTCTTTCTGTGATAGCACCATTACCACTCATCTTTGAAAACTGCACTACTGATCAGAGCTGCGTTCAAACATCTAAGCCACTGCTTTTAAAGGAGTTTAAGAAAAGAGCTCCCTAATAATTTAAACATTTTTCATAAGTATGGAAATTAAAAAGTATGAGGCCAGTAGAGCAGTGCGTTAGAGTGGAGACTCTGCACGCGGCCTGCCTGAATTTGTGTCTCATCTTTTCCGCTTTGTAGCTGGGGAATCTAATGCAACTTAATTAACCTCTCTGTTCCTCACTTACTTCCTCTATAAATAGGGATAATAGTACCAACCTGGTAGGGATGTGGTATGAATTAAGTGGTGCTTAGAACAGTGTCTGACACAGAAAGTGTTCAACACTTAAAAAGTGTTCAATAAGTGAGTTACTTTTAGACATTATTATGATGATGATTTATATATATATATCTTTTTGCTTTTATAGCTAGAAGTCCACGCTCCTCCTGGTGTACCAATAGGTTATGTTACGCAGATATGGCACCCCTGCCTGCCAAAGTTTACAGTTCAAAATGAGAGGAGGGAGGATGTACTCAAAATTATTGGTCCATGTCTTGTGTGCAGCTGTTGTGCAGATATTGATTTTGAGGTAAGAGATGTGATAGTGTTTATAGGTTTTGCCTTACTAATATAAGAATAATGTAACTTGGGAGGATGTTACAAACATATTAAATAACTATGTGTATCCTGATCTGTCAGGAGGAAGGTAATGCGCTCGTATATTTAACTTCAGTTGGAGAGGTGGTTATTGCTCTCATCAGCATCGATGTTGGTTATGCCAAATGGAAAAAAGAGAAGCAGAGCCTTGTAGTCAACAAATATAAGCAAAACATCGAACATTTAAACATGGTGGTTTCTGTGCATTATCCATGTAAAGTAAGGCATGAGGCTTGTCGTCTGAATCTGATTGCTGGAGCACGTGGATCCTTCCTGGTCCGCAGCACAGGGGGCCAGCTCTCCGTCCTCTTCAGGGGGTCTGACACCTTTCAGTTCCTACAAGAGGCCCAGTTATGCAAAGAGAGTTTTCAGGAAGATAGTGTAAGACCTACTACCCAATGATGCTTCTCTAAGGACTCTCCTTTACCCTTGTATTAAATTCCATCATTAGAAACCATGACATAGCTGTGTGTTTACTACAGGGAGGAATTCCATTACAGCAGTTTTCCAACAGGTGGGCCAGCCTTATAGCCCAAGTTATTTAGTTGAAAATGTTTAAAAATAAGGATATTTCATAACTTAATCTTGATTTTCTCATTCCATTGGACAATCAGGAAATCTGGTCAATTGAGCCCACATTTCCATAGACAGGGCACGAGCAAGCTGAACCTGAGTCGTGCTGCCCCCTTGTGGTAAGATGTGGGAACTCTGCCACTGTCCCTTGACTTCCTAAGGTTTTTCACTATCTAGCTTCATTCTTTTACATGGTCTGCCTGGCTTCTCTAGTCATATGATTTTCAATTCCTCTGTTAGACCCTGGTTATATAAAGATGAATCCTTCCCTTCATTGACTTCAGAGTCTCATGAGGGAGAAGCAATTGTAAGAAAACACATGTGATATAATAGAGATGTTATAAAGACTCTGATAAAGAGATATGCATAGTGTGTGGTAGGGGCAATGTATACCATGTATGTGTAAAGACTTTGTAGGTTTATGTATAATGATAGTTATCTATGTAGGGGTTATCATTCCTGTCAAAGATCTGGGGCGGTGGAAATGTAATTGTTCTTTCAGGGAATATTAACAGAAGTTTGGCTGACATATAGTTTATTTGTGGAAAATAAGTGAAAATACTGATGAAGCAAGTCAGACTGGATTGTGAAGCTCTTATATTTAATGCTAAGGAATTTAGACATCATCCAGCAACCCTTCTCAGTGGATGCCTTAAAGCATCCATTGTATGTAATGAGTTAACTTCTCTCTTGTGTACCTAGAATGGTGTTAACTCGGTAACATCTTTGAAGGAATTGAGGTTAGTCTCTTGAATCATTTTCTGTAAGCTAGATAATGGAATATTTGAAAGCAGAAATTATCAATATGAGGGACCATTATGGAGCATGAGCTCCATTTGAGTGTCAATGGGCATAGCAACTTGGTGTAGAAACCAAGGGTTTCTACAGTCATTCTAAAGGAAGGAATAATTCAAGAGATATTTAATAAGTGTACTGAGTGGAACTGATTCATGGATTTATGTCAGTTAAGGATTAAAGCAAATTTGGAGATGATTCTGATGTCTAATGTTTGAGAAGCTGAATGAATAATGATGCCATAGGCCAAATTAAGAATCTTGGAGGAGAAACAGTTGATTTGTGGGAAGCTAATGATTTGTATTTGAGTCATGTTTAATTTTAGGTATGTAGAGGAAAAGGTTAGGGAGTTTTCAGCATACAGATGTTAGTTGAAGCCATGAGAAGATTATCCCAAGGGTGAGGAGAAGGAAAACAAGTAGACTTCCTAGCCTGTGGAGATGATAAGGGAATCTGTCTCCTTCCAGGACTCTTGGTAGGGGGTAAAAATATGCCTATATGAAACTGATATCCCCCCAGTCCAGCCCCATCTATGCGTTTGATGTCTGATTTCATACCACTGTTAGGTTCAGGAATCTCAAAACATAGAAATTATCCCGAGTGGGCTACAGATGGCAAAATACAATGCTAAAGCACACTAGAAGGAGGTTGATCACCTAGGGCACCCCCTTTCTCATAGAAAAAGGCTATCTTCACATGAGCAGATTCAAAAATTACATAATGCTTTAGAAACTAATTTACCAAGAACAAACTGCATACAATAGAACAGTTTGCAATCAATCATACAGGAAATACCTAAATAAACATTAAAGAGACAAAAGATAAAACAAAAACTGTCATAAGGGAAGAATGAGACTAATAATAAATGACAGGAAGATTTGAAAACAAGCCAGAAATGAGGAACAGTCATTGGTAAAACCTCATTGGAAAGGTAGAGCTGCAAGGAAGATACAGGTGAAGAGAGAACTAGTGAACTGATGATCCATATGAGGAAAATAAAGTGGAAGGGCGGAAAAGACATAAATTTGAAGGAACAAAAAAAAAAATTGAAGGGATGTGGAAGCTATAATAAACTACTCGTGCATTTGCCAAAGAGGAGTTACAGAAAAAGAGAGGACAGAGAATGTGCTGAGATAATATTCAAAGAGATAAATTGCTAAGAATCTTGCAGACTTGATGCCATGGATCCTCAGATTCAGAAAGTGCAAGGAGTTCTGAGTAAGAAAAAGAAATGACACCTAGGTATGGCTTAAATTGCAAACTTCAAACTAAAAAAGGGAATCTGAAATCAGCAAGTGGGAGAGAGGAAAGGTTGTCTCTAATATGTTATTCCCTGACCATTAGGGATTGTGAACATTTTACTCTAGGCTTACTAGCTCCTTGTATTTGCTTTCTTTGAAGTGTCCATTCATAGCCATTGCCTGTTTTATCTATTGGGTTGTTTACTTTTTTCTTGTCAATTTGTAAATGTAATTTATGTGTTGAAGACATTGACCCTGTATCTGTCCTCTGATTTGCAAATATTTTCCACAAGTCCACCCTTTGTTTGGGACTTTGTTTATGACATATATATCATATATATATCTATATATATATATCTGTGTGTATATATATATCTATATAAAGAGAGAAATTTTTAATTTTATATAGTCAAATATATCTATTTTAATAGCTTCTGGTTCTCCTGCCTTCATTACGAGGTTTCCCCAAACTTTATATTTTATCTACTCTTTTTACATTTAAATGTTTAACTCACCGGGAATTTTATGTGTACAAGATAGGATCAAGCTTTTTTCTTTCAGGTGACTAGACAGCTGTGTCATCACAATTTATTAAGTAAACTATTCATTCCTTGCTAAATTGAAATACCATACATTAAATTCCCTCAAGTAATGGGATCTATTTCTAGATTCTCTCCTCTGTTGCATTGATTTAACGATCTGTCCTTACAGCAATGCCATATGATTCAATTATGGTGACTTAATGATACATCCTATATCTAGTCGTAGCCAAATAGTCATTGTTATCCTTCTTTATCATATTTTCTTGCTATTATCAGATATTTTATTTTCTGTGAACATTAAGGTCGTTTCATTCAATTTTTTTAGAAGTTAGAATCCAACTGGTATTGTATTAAATCTGTTATCATTTTTTTACGTTAACATATTTCTGATGCTAAACTTGTCTCATCCCAGAACCATTTTGTCTTTTTATTCATTCATCCCTAATTTTGTCTTCTTCATGAGACCAGATGGATTTATTCATATAGAACCTGTATCTTTTTTGATAAATTTATTCCTAAGTAACTTATAGGCATTATCACTATTAAGGAGAAATATTAATATTTTTAGGTACTTATTATTAATATTGAGAAAAGCTATTTATTTTTGTTTACCTATATCCAGTCATATGACTAGATTCTAGTATTAAGTTTAGAATGCATTTTTGCTATATTCACTTGGTGTTTCTATGTATAAAATCACAGGACAAATGAAATTATTTTAGCTCTTCAAATGTTTATTTACCAGTTAGCTCATTTTCTTTTCCAGCCTACTTCTACAGCAAAAGTGAATAACAATGTCAATTGTGGGAATACCTACCAAGTTTATGATTTCAATTGAAATAGCAGCAAATGTTTCATGATTTAGAAAAATATTGGCTGTTATTTTTCATAGTATTTTTATATTCTTATTTTACCTAGAGCAGAAATCAGCAAACCTTTTTATTTTTATAAGGAGTAAGAGAAAAAATTTTAGACTTTATGGGCCATATAGTCATTGTTGCAACTATTCAACTCTGCCATTGTGGCAGGAAAGGAGTCATAAACAATACATAAATACTGGGTGCAACTGTGTCCTATTAAAACTTCTTACAAAAACGGGCGGCAGGCCAGATTTGGCCCATTGACCATTGTTTGCTGACCTCTGTCCTAGGTTTTTATTAAGAACAGATACTTAACTTTCTAAAAGGCAGAGTATCACAGTTGTCATGAACATAGACGCTCTGGAGCAGGACGCCTGGGATTGAAATCCCTCCCCACAGCTGCTTGTCTGTGTGAACTTGGACAAATTACTTAACCTCTCTTTGCTTCGGTTTTTTCATATGAAAATTGTGTGTAATAATAGTACATATCTTATGAGAAAAAACTTACCTACTACTTGTAAAGCACTTAAATGCCATGCATATACTAAATGTTATATAAATGCTTAATTAGTAAATAAATAAAATACCTTTCAGCATCTATAGATACACTCATATGTTTTGAATTATATGATTTTCTAGTATTTTACATTTTATTATAGTATATTCTTTTGATACTTATCTAGGTTCTATATGCTAATGTTGTATCTGGATTTTTTGCATTTATATTTATATTGTGAGATGAGCCTATAGATTTCTTTTTAGAATACCTCTATCAATTATTTTAATAAACGATTAAAATTTAAATTTAATAGTGATCTAATATCAGTTTATTTCCAGAAGTTGAGATCTTTTTATTATATAGATTTTCTGTTTTTAAAATATTATCTAGAATTTAGCTAAAAATGATCTAATCCTATTGACTTTTCAGTTGTAGATCCTTATTCACGTTCCTGAACCTCTACGTAAAACAATTATATGTTCCACTTCTTACATAAATTTTGGTGAATTTTTAAATTTCATGCTGTAGGAATCAAAAAGAGGAAGTGTTACTACCTATTAAGTCTGGCGGTAGGATTATGGTGGCTGATGTGTTATCTTTTGTATATTTCATTTAAAAATATTTCAAAAATCAAAAATAACTAAATTGAAAAAAATGTAAGTTTTATTACCAGCTTCAAATGCTTAGATGACAGCTATTAGCAGATAAAACACTACGGCAGGCAAGAGGGAATTTGTATGTCTGTTTTTGCCACAATAGTGTTGCATAACGTATAACCCCTAAAGCTCAGTGGCTTAAAAAAAACAGGCATCTATTCTCATGCTCGTGGGTCTGCAGGGCGGCTGTGTCTCAAGGGATTTACCTAGGCTCAGCTAGATGGCTCTGATTTAGGCTGTAGGTTGGCCTCGGATCTGCTCCAGGTATGTTCCTTTTGGAGCTGTAGCAACAGCAGCCACCTGGACCATGCTTTTCTATTGGCTGATCCCTGGAGAGCAAGAGCCGGGCTAAACCACTGAGCCACGTCTAGGGCCTCTGCTCCTGTGACAGCAACTAACACCCCATTGGTCAAATAGGTCACATGGCCAGGCCTAGTTATCAATGTGTGGGGAACCCTGGGGCTACAGTGGGAGGGGGATTATTCGATGAACATAGTATCCCTGCTATCGCAGTTTTCATATTAGAGTTTATCTCAGATTTTTCAAGAATCCCTCCACCCACACCCAAATAAAATGAGTCAGCTGTTTTTAGTTTCCCACATTAATTTAGCTGGTTTCAACCTGAGGCAAGGGTGTTTCTACACATATGGTACCCTGTATACATTTGAAAAGGACACTTCTCTTCCTGGGTCGGCACAAGGTTGTGTACATACCTTGCTGAGTGCGGACTGTGTTCGGCCCACTTGGTGAGGTGTGTTTGTCTGGCCACAGTCTGTTCAGCTCTTGATGATGGCCCTGGGCTATCGTCAGGCTGAGTTGTAAAGTTAGAAAAATTTACTTTGGAGCTCTGTTTTTCATACATCCTTTCTCTTGCTGAATACCCGCCTCCTGTTGTCCAGTCTCACCCCATCCCTTGATCTGGGGCATACCCTCAAGTTACTTATTGGAGACTTGCCTTCACTCAAAACTGCCAGTCCTCTCTTAGCAGTTTACATTTTCCCATTGACAGTGGGTGGTAACGGGCCCTCCCATCACGTTAAACCCTCAGCCTGTGTAAACTCTCTGTGCTTCTCTTAAAGCAGAGGTCACGTGGGGGTTTATTTACTACTTTCCTGATGGCCTATAGAAATTTCATCAACGAAACATTTCATATTTGTATCTTTACTTGGTTAAATTTTGTTTTAGATAAATTCAACACATTTATTACTGTGTGTCAATGTAGAACAGAAAATGTTAAATATTTCAGCACAACTTCTTTCATATAAGATCTCTGTAGCAAAAAAACAGTTCTTTCCATGTGTCTATAAATAGATACAGGATTTTACATGCATCTGATGAATGATATAATGTTCGTAGTTAGGTATGGCACATAATTTTAATAGAGTATTTATTTCATTTTATTCCAACTTTGGAAGTAGTCTTATTATTGGTTTTCTAGAATTCTTTAAGACTGTCTTTTTTTTTCAATTTAGGTTAAATCTCTTGATGAACGAAATGTGGTTGGCAAGATTACCAAGCAGTGGGGTGGTTTTGTGAGAGAGGCGTACACAGATGCTGATAACTTTGGGATCCAGTTCCCCTTAGACCTTGATGTGAAAGTGAAAGCTACGATGCTTGGCGCATGTTTCCTCATTGTAAGTCTATTCTTGTTAATCTGGAGTGTAGAGGGTTTCTCTGTTATCATTCTGAAATGATTCAGTAAATTATACATTTTTAAATGAGATTCTTCAATTTATAGGTTTTATTCAAAAGGGTCCCATTTAATCCTAGCTCTGAAATTCCATTTTCTCCTGAATCTCTGGATTCACAGGTGACTGGTTTCTCTCTGGATAGTCTATGCAGTTTCACATGGTAACAGAAGGACTTTATATGTTAAGGAGAGGCCCTGGTTTTTGGGGTTTTTATTAAAAAATTGAAATTGATTCTTTGGAGCAGACTTTGAGTCTGACTTACATGGAATAAGACGCAGTGAAACAAGCGATGTCCTGATTCATTATTAATTCATCTAATACAAGAGTGTAAACTGCAATAAGGGTATACATCCAATCAAGCCATTAAATGTCACTGTCAATTGAGAGGAAATACATGGGCTAGAGCAGTGATTCTGAACTGGTCTTCCCATTAAATCACCCAGGGAGCTTTTAAAAACCCCAAGTATCAGCCCATACTCCAGTTTAACTAAATCGGAAGCTCAGAATGAGAAGTTTGTGTAGCTCCGAAGGTGGTTCCATATGCAGCAATGCCCAGGACTCCTGGGAGGGAGCAGTGGTTTTCAACCATAGCTGCACAGTAGCAACAGCTGGGTAGCTCTCAAACTCCCTATGTCAAGACTGCACCAGCTAGTGAATCAAAATCTCTGGAGATGGGGCTAAGCCTTTCAGGCTGTTTAGAGGGGTCACGTGATTCCAACATGCAAGCAAGGTTTGGGGCCACTAGATGAGTACCTTAAACATTGACTTGGGGATGCAATCAGAAGAAACTAAAAAGTAAGAGAATTTACAGAAAAAGGATCTAGTTACTTCAACAAATAAGTGTCAGAAAAATAAAAAGGTAAAAATAAAATAAAAAGAGAGAGACCTAAGAGACATGGACTTAATGCAGTTTGTATACCATGTTTGGATGCTGATTTGAACAAACCGATATAAAAGGACATTTACAAGGCATTCAGGGAAATTGGAACATTGACTGGCTATTTGATGATATTATTTAATTATTAAGTTTTTATTTTTAGATAGTATGATATTATGGTTATATAAAAGAAAAACAGTCCATATTTTTTAGGGGCACATACTGAAATATTTTAGTATAAAATGGTATGAAATCACAAATTTGCTTTTAAATAATGGGGGTGAGGCCAGGGGGATCTAGGGGATGGAGTAATTGCTGAGCCAAGATTATCAAGTTAATAATTATTGAAGTTGGGTGAGGGGTCATTGGGATTTTATTATACTATTCTATTTAATTTGAGATAGGCTCAATATTTTCTATATAAAGTTTTAATCAGAACAATAGTTCTATTTAAAAATTGTGTTTTCAATGAGTGTTTATTTCACATGAAAAGTAAAATTTAACCTTAACCTTAGGGAACTGTTTAACCAAAGGTATATATATACTATAAGCAAAGATATGGTGTGTATAGGGAAGAGAGGGCCGTGTGGAGTGTTTGGATAGATGAGAAATGGGTTGGAGGTGGTGGTAGGGTAATTAGGAGATGACTATGGGGTAGACTGGGCTTCTTCTAGAGGACTTTTAAAGATGGAGCAACTTCTTGTAGACATTGGGAAGATATTGAAAATTGTTTAGTTAATCAGTTGGTTTTAAACTAGGTATAAAGAAAATAGTTATAAATCCAAATTTTAGAAAGATAAACCCTGGTGACTGTGTGAGAAATGGATTGATGAGAGGTAAAAGGGCAGTAATGCAATTGCAAGTGAATGGTGACAAGGATTAAGTCATTTCTTTGTGAAGGGACAAAGGGAAAGATAGATGTGAGGGAAATAAAATCTGTGGGGTTGGACAGAAGTCACAGGGGAGAGGGTGTGGCTAGACACTGAGGGAGGGGGAGAAGCCCAGGAACACAATGGACCAGTGTGGAAGAAAAATCAGAAAACTGGGCCAAAAAATTCTACAATGCATTCTAACTCTAAGATGGCTGTCATTCTCCTGAAAAAATCTAAAAGTTGTACATGGAATTCCAGTCACAAGAAAAGTTATATTATTAGAGAAAGAGTATGAAAAGGTGAGGAAGAAAGATTGAAAGAGGAACATTCTGAGAGGCATGAGAAAAAGTGAAATTAGAGAAATTACCAGATGATTCATTAAATTCATCCACGTATCAGTAAGTGAATAGAATGTTAGGATTTAATTGCTTTAGAATAGAAACGTGAAGCTATCGATTTTTCCCCGATCAACTTACTAGTCAATTTTTCTTGTTTAGCAGATATATTGTTATGTTTCCTCAGATCTCTTAACATTTATGCATCTGAGACTTGATCTCTGTTTTTTTACTGAAAATTTATGTCTATATTTCTGTTTTTGTCTAGGACTTCATGTTTTTTGAAACCAGTGGACGCAACGAATAGAAGTCAGGAATGTGGTAGTGGATTAATGATAGTCTCCTCAGAAAACTTGAGGTCTTGTACATTGATTGGGACTATGTGGAAGAAAAACTCAGTGTTTTTTTTTTTCTTTATTGAAATGGCCTACAGCATGTTTGAGTTACACTGTGATGCCTGAAGCTCCAAGTATATGATTTCACTTTTCAAATTATAGAGTTTATTTTTTGTATTACTTATAAATGTTTTTATACATTTTCTTTTTCATTGTGTGTTTCAGAGAAAGGACACAGGAATTTTTACATTTAAACAGGAAATTTCTTATGATAAATTCCTTTCAACTATAGTGTCTGCTTTTTTAAAAATTTTTATAGCAAAATTAATTAAAGGCTTATTAGACTAATTTTACTATAAAATTATATATTATTTTGTAAATCTAGTTGCAATATATTTCATGTGTAACAACTAGTGTTATTTTGCAAATACTACATATTCAGATAAGTTAAAAATGAACATGATTTCAGTTACCTTTACAATTATGTTCAAATAATACTCAATATACATATTAGCAAAGAAAAGTAAAATGTGTATTTGTTTTTTATTCAGCAAATCACACTATATTTAACTTCTCCTATAAGCTAATTTGCTACTATAAATAAAATTTTCATATTGACAAGACAATAAATTACCAATTTTGGATGGTTTTCAGTAAAAAAAGATATGATTCTATCCCAAAGAAGGACACATTTAAGACACTCACTGTAAAACTAGAGTATTGTTATTTACACGTGGAATGGTTAGCTCCTGTCTTCTATCTTTCATAGAACATGGTAGTTATGAGATCATGCAGGTGTTAATTAAATAGAACATATATATTCCATCAGAGTATAAACTTCAATAATGGTCTCTTAGATTTTTATACCAACAGTCAAATAACTGAACTAAAAACTGTTGATGTATTTCTTTGCATATTTGATTTCTGTTTTTAAACAAACTGTGAATAATCAGTTCAGATGGTCTTCTAAACCTTACACATGGACCTCTCCTTCCCTTTCAAATCTCCTTTAAAAAGAGCAAAAGCGTACAATAATCTTTAGTAAAATCCATACCAGTATTGGAAACTAGGATTTCTACCTGTCAGAAACTTAAAGGAATTTTTATACTCTGTTTCGTAGGGAAGATTGGATTGAGTGAGAGATATCCAAGCCACAAAGGAATTCATGCAAAGGAACATGTGCTTAGGAAGTAAGGGCTTAGGGGAGACACTCCCTTTCCTGGTCAGCAGAATTCCAACACCACTGCTCCTAATGCTGGTAACATTGGGATGGCAGGGGCGCTCTAGGAAAAGCCAAGTCTAGACCACCTTTCTTTAGCCTAAATAATTCATCAGGTGCCCGATTCCAATGATGACATGTAACCGAAGCACTCACGTTCAGTTTGTGGTTGGTACAGACAGCATGCCAGGCAGAGTGAGGTACCTGCACAGCTGCATCCTACTGGCATTAGTTATGCCAGTTAGAGAAGGAGGGGGCTTTCCAAGTTAGCTATCAGGTACCACAACCAACTCAAAATGAGGCTAGAGGTACCGACGTTACCTCTGTGACAGATACATCGTTTCATTTTCTCCCTCTTCCCCTTTGCATAAGATGAGGGATCTGCAGTTAAGCAAAATAGAACTGCCATTAATCTAAACAGTTCCTTCCTTATTCAACCGTGCAAGGAAAATCTGAGCAGAAACCCACAAACTTTCTGCAGAACACATTTAAGTTCAAATATTAGACAAACACCTCCTCATTAAATATTTACAAAGAAAAAATCATCAAAAACGAAAAATTAGATTTTTAAAGGAGAAAAAGACCATGAAGTGCAACAAATGTCTTAATTTGTAATCTCAATGAGATTTGAGGGAATGATGTGTATTTATTTCTGGAACAGGCAGTAGAGAAAAAGGAACATGCTGACGAGGCAAAATTTTAATAAAGTTGAAAAATATGATGACCACATGTTAAAGTATGATGGAGACACTGGAACAGTAGGTTGCATAAAGGAGAAAGATAACACAATAAAGTAAAAGACAGATTTTAGAAATTCTCCAAGAAGTCAGATAAACACACAGGATAGAGAGAAAAGACTATTCTTGAGGAACAGGTGCATCGACTTCAATTTATGTACAACAGGAATTCCAGAAGCAGAAGTCAGATGGAGCCAAGAGAATAATAAAAAAAGTAAGAAAATTTATTTTCAACCAGGACAGACTGTACTCTCCAGGTGAGTGGATTTACCATATATCAGAAAAATTCATGAAAATGGCCTATTTATGATTATATATTCACAAAACCTGTTTTGTGAATATATAATTACTACACTACTACAATATAATTACTACATATTTTGTGAATATATAATTATTACACACCTGTGCTATAGCAGACATTGTTAGGCTGTAGTAAAATGGTTTCTGTCCCTCAACTTCCATGATATTCCCACAGTCTAGTTCATTTTTTCTTACTTCACTAATGGGGGTCAGTCAGTTCAGTACTCTTTAATCACAGGCATTTAGAAGGACCAAAGGATGTGGAACAAAAGGGAATCCTATAAAAGTACTTGTGGCCTTGTCCCCCATTTTCCCATCCTGCCTTTGAGTAGAGACCTTACCACCTCTGAGATTCTTCCCCTCCAGATAATGTGACGTATAGAGATGTGGTGTCATGGACGCATTCAGGACAGGTGCTCCCTTTACCTGTCTTTTTTATCCTGAAGAGAGCAAAGGAACAGCATCACATCTCAAGTCATCACTCTGCCCACCAGGTCCTAGATCTTGGCTTCTAAATACCATGCTCCACTTGAACTGGGCTCTTTGAGAAATGGTTAACACAGAGCCGTAGCAAGAAAAAGTACAAAATGAGCCTTGAACAACTTATGGAAAAACAAGGAGGTGTTCAAGGAAGGATGGTGGCATGTCAAAAGGACAAAGGAACCAAATTGAAAGGGCACACACCAGCAAAATTAAGGACAATTTAAGCACCAAAATATTTATATAAGAGATTATTACCATTGAATAAAATAGGACACTATGCGTCTCTACAGATATAACAAACATGAAAATTTAAAGTTTGGTAAGGACAAAGATACATATAGTTTCAATTTACTTTCCCACGAAATCTTTTTGATTTTAAAGGAAGAATGAGTAACTTTTACAGCAGGGCCTAGCAACTACCATCATCAAAGTGATCATCGTCAGTAACGGGACAAAGTGCGACTGAGTATTGCCTGATGGATTCAATAAGACACAGCATCACAGGGATCTTGACATGCTGTGTAGGATAGCACATGGTGAAATCATGTTTCCAAGTTTTATTAAGATATAATTGACATTGTATTAGTTTTAGAAGTACAACATAATGATTTGATATATGTATATATTGCAAAATGATTACTGTAATAAGTTTGGTTAACATCCATCATCTCACATAGTTACAATTTTTTTCCTTGTGATGAGAACTTTTAAGACTTATTCTCTTAAAAACTTTCAAATATACAGTATAGTATTGTGGACTATAGGCATCATGCTGTACATTACATCTCTAGGACTTATTTATCTTATAACTGGAAGTTTGTACTTATTCACTCATTTTGCCACCACCCCCGCCCCCCGACACTGACAACCACTCTCTGTTCTCTGTATCTATGAGTTGGGTTTTTATTAGATTCCACATATAGGTGAGATCATACAGTATTTGTCTTTCTCTGTCTGGCTTCTGTCATTTAGCATAATGCCCTCAAGGTCCATCCATGTTGCCTCAATAGCAGGATGTCCTTCTTTTTTATGGCTGAATAATATTCTGTTGTATATATACCACATTTTCTTTATCCAGTCATCTGTTGATGAACATACAGGTTGTTTTCATGTGTTGACTAATGTAAATAATACTGCAATGAACACGTGGGTGTAGCTATCTTTTCGAGAGCATTAAATACCCAATATCCAATATCCTTCGGTTAAATACCCAGAATTGGAATAGCTGGATCATATGGTAGTTCTATTTTTAATTTTTTGAGGAATCTCCATACTGTTTTCCATAGTGGCTGCATCATTTTACATTCCCACCAACAGTGCACAAGCGTTGCCTTTTCTCCACATTCTTGCCAACACTTGTTATTTCTTGTCTTTTTGATAGCAGCCCTTCTGACCAGTGTGAGGTGATACCTCATTGTGGTTTTGATTTGCATTTCTCTGGTGATTAGTGATGTTAACTTTTCACATACCTGTTGGCCTTTGGTATGTCATCTTTGGAAAAACATCCATTCAGATCCTCTGCCCGTTTTTCAATTGGATTGTTTGGTTTTTTTCTGTTGAGTTGTATGAGTTCTTTATGTATTTTACGTATTAACCCCTTTTTAGCTATATGAATGAAATATTTTCTCTCATTTTGGAGGTTGCCTTTTGCTGTGCAGAAGCTTTTTTTTTTTTTTTTTTTTTTTTGTGAGGAAGATCAGCCCTGTGCTAACATCTGCCAATCCTCCTCTTTTTGCTGAGGAAGATTGGCCCTGGGCTAACATCCATGCCCATCTTCCTCCACTTTATATGGGACGCCGCCACAGCACGGCTTGCCAAGCAGTGCATCGGTGTGTGTGCTCGGGATCCAAACTAGAGAACCCCGGGCCACTGCAGCAGAGCGCACGCACTTAACCGCTTGCGCCACTGGGCCGGCCCCGTGCAGAAGCTTTTCAATTTGATGTAGTACCACTTGTTGATTTTTGCTTTTGTTGCCTTTGCTTTTGGTGTCAAACCTGAAAGAATCATTGCAAAGAATGATGTCAAGGGGCTTATTGCCTGTCGTTTTCTTCCAGGACTTTTATGGTTTCAGGTCTTACATTCAAGTCTTTAATTCATTTCGAGTTTATTTTGGTGTATGGTGTAAGATAGTGGTCCTGTTTCATTCTTTTGTGTGGCTCTCCAGTTTTCCCAGCACCATTTATTGAAGATTACAATTTTTATATAATTCCCATTATATTCTTGGCTCCCTTG